CAAACAACGGGTGCATAATTTATTTTATAATACAATAGTGTACAACAATATGCTTTTTCATTTATTTATAATAATTCATGAACTATGTAAAACATTAATTTATGTAACAATATCATKTTACATACATTTTCATTGAACATTATATCACCATAAATTAAACAATAAAATTTGATGTACTTCATATTCACTGGTCATCGAACACTTTAATTTTTATTTTGGTCATAATAACGATTTTTTGTTATTTTTAGTAGATTCAAGCCTTAAAGATATTTTTTTCTTTTCGAAGATATAATAAACCAAGGGGTCTAACTTTAAATATAGGCGATTCGTGCTTATACTACTATCTAGTGTATTTATTAAGGCAGYGGTTCCCAAACTTTTAGGATCACGGAACCCTTAGGAAATAGTTTGTGTTTTGCGGAACCCTAATGTCTTTACTTCCAACTTAACCCCATTTGAAAAAAAAAACCAGTACTACAAAAAATTTCAGACATCACATACATCTGACGGAACCCTTGAGATAGTCCCGCGGAACACACTTTGGGAAACGTTGTATTAAGGGTTACTTTCTAGAAATTATTTTGAATGAACTTTTTAAATTAGGCGTATGAATATTTTCAACTCTTCAAATAAAAAAAAATAAACACATCTCAATAAATTGTAAATAATTGTGCACTAGATTTAGTATTATATATTATAAGCAATGAATGTTATATTATATATCTTAATATTATAATCGCAGGTAAGATTAATAATCTATAAGGACTAACGAGTTTTTGATATTGTTTATATGTCACGTCATGTATCTATGAATTCTGCTACCAACCCACAGGTAACTATTAAGTTTCTTATATAATACACATGAAAAAATAATGTGACTCATGTTTATTTACCGTTAGAGTAAAAMGTAATTTAAATAATAATTTCGTCATTATGTTCTTATTGTTTAAACACGATCGCGACCGTCTAGTCGATTTCGATTTCACGTGCCATTGTCAATGTCACGACAGCGTTAAGGATTGCAGTATAGAACTTATAATATCGTAGCCTACATCTATCCTGTGATGGTAAACGGTGCGTACCTCCTACGTATGATTCCTGACGTGCAGCCTACACGGTAAAAGTGACTATACGTTATGGTCACGCCAAGGAAAACGCACAACATGCATAACATTGTCGTACAACAGTCGTTTTTTATCGCTCGTCGGATTATTAACAAATCCAACGCACGATGTGTGTTCAGAAAATCAAACGATGAAAATAACTATTATTGTATGCGATTTTGTGTAGGACTGGTCATGGCGATTATGCTACCGATTAGAAGGTTATAATATGTAGTTAGGTYTTAGGTACCTATWTATAATACTACGAAACCTGGTGGACGTGTTTCGATTGTAGGCACATATCGTCATATCGCTGACTTTATGATAATATAATATTTTTATCAATGATAATGTTACAGCAGATGGACATATTAATTATTGGCTTACCCTTGATGACACCGTTCTGGACGTTGCCTCTACCGTAAGTCACGTTCACGGCTATCGACTCGATGTCTGGCACGTACTTGAACTTGACACATCCTGTACAAAGAAAAAAAGAAATGCACACAACGACCGTGATCATCAAAAAAATAATAATGATAAAACGTAAAACTGGTGCTGCGAGCAAGACTTCATCGATGATAAAATGTCGTTTATTATGCGTATAAAGTGCATTCATAATATTAAGTACGGTGCGTAATATCGTGTTGTGCACTATATTTAATATTGCCATGTCACAGCGAACGTAAAATTATAATAACGATGACGTATAGGCACAAACTGCAACGGTACTCACCCGGAGATGTGGTCAAGTCCAGGAACGGCAGACTCATTCTCAGGCAGCACACGCACGACTTGAGCTCCGGACTTTGGCACTCGCACCGTTTTTCCGGCACTTGTTTCGCCTCGGATTTGAGCCCACTCCTCTGCTGGACGACGCCTTCCAGTCCGGTCCACAGCAGGTCTGCGATGGGCAGCCCAAAAAAAAAAACGAAAACAAAAACCACCGAAAACGACAGATGTTAAATATTATGTATTATCATTCGTGGTGCGATTTTTTTCTCTCTCTTTCTTTCTCTCTCGCCCTGCACAAAGTCACGTCGTATAAACGACGACATTTTGTTTTCATCTCGCGCTCACTCACCCGTAACGGTTGACGTCGGCGGCACGCTGGCGCCCGAACACGCTGCGACAGTGCACGCCATCGCGGCCAAAGCGCACCACCACATGTTATTAGCTGGACGACGGTGTTCCATCACGACTTGTACGACGTTTGATAGTATTATGTGATTATGCACACGACGGCGATACGGTGATGATTATGATGAATACAACAATAACAACAACAAAAACAACGATAAAAAAAATACACGTCCAACACGCAGTCGATCCCGTTCTGTCTGCGGCGGCGGCGGTCGCTAAACGATACTATACCAGCAGCGGGTCAACGGGTCACCCACTATTGCTTCCCCCCACCGGTTTACCACTTTCTTTTCAGGTATGAGACGAGATGACGGCGGCGGCAGGTCTTCCGTGCACGCGACTACGGCGGTTGCAGCGGCGGCGACGACGA